TGGATTTGGAGCAGTCTCCTGATAGAGTCACTGCGATTAAAGAAAAGGTCTTTCCTAGGGGATGAGTCTGACCACTGTGTGGAAGAGTCAGTATATTTTTGTGCCTTGGAAGTCTAATTGGAAGAGAAATTAAACAAGACAAGAGTAAAGGAAACCAGGATTGTGATGTCCAATGTGGAACGATTAAGAGTGCTTTACTAACTTTATCAGCAATAATTTTGTTCAATATTTTTCCAATAAGATTAAAAGGGGGAAAAATGTATGGCACCAAATCCTGCCAGGAAAAAGAGAAAGCATACCACCTGGTTCTGGAAACCATGAGACAAACTTCTTTAATGGACAGTTTAGTCTAGATGCAAAAAGATCTATGTCTGGAAGAAAAGTCTGTGCACACAATCTTTGGAAAATTTCTTTCTCTAGGATCCATTCAGTGGAGTCAGAAAAATTTCTGGATAGAAAATCTGCCTGTATATTATATTTGCCAGCAATATGGACAGCGGATACAAAAATTTTCCTTTCCAAGCACCAGTTCCAAATCTGTCTGGCTAAGTGATCCAAATGAATTGATGCCATTCCACCCATATTATTAATATACGAAATAGCACATATATTGTCAGATTGAATCTCTATATGAATATTTTTATGATCTGAATAAAAGACTTGTAAAGCATAAGAAACTGCTAACAACTCTAAATAATTGATGGAAAAAGTGGTCTCACTCTTTTTCCATCTACCAGAGATTGATCTATTTGAATACAGTTCAAAAGCTCCCCACCCTGAGAGCGATGCATCAGTTCGAACAGTACAAGCAATCTTGTCTTGTCTGATATATTTCCCATTTTTGTCTGCAACATACAGATACCACTATTTGAGTTCCAGAATACTTTGTGGAGACAACTGAATTGTACTATCAAAATTTTTGTGTTCACGAAGGCCTTTTAATTTATCATGTTCTAAACACCTGTAGTGCATTGGGGCTTCCAGGATTGCATAAAATGCATTAATAAGCATACCAATAAACGATGCCAACTCTCTTATTCTAACATACTTTTTATCAAGAAGCTTCTTGGCAAAATTTTTAATCTTTTCCACTTTCTCCTCAGTAAGAAAGACCTTAAACTGAGCAGAGTCTAACACAAAACCAAAAAAGGTTATTGGTTGAGATGGAACAAGAACAGATTTTTCAAAATTGATAGTAAAACCGAGAGATTGTAATGTTTCAATCATAGTCCATGTGTTTCATAAGCAAATGTGACTATCACTGTCCAAATTCAATGAATCATCAATATAGTAGGTACACCTAATACACTGCTGTCTAAACCATGCATAAATGGGTTTTAGGATCTTTGTGAAGACTCTTGGAGCAGAAGAAAGCCCAAAAGGTAAACAGACAAACTGAAAAGTTGACCGTTCCAAATAAACTTGAGAAATTTCTGATAATCTGTATGTATTGGAATACTAAAATAAGCATCCTTTAAATCAATGGAAGTAAAGAAATCATTTTTCTGGATGAGATCTAAAACAATTAGAAACATTTCTTGCTTAAAATGTTCATAATGGACAAATTTGTTCAACTGTTTCAAATTGATAACTGGTCGAAATTTTCCATTAGGTTTGGGAACAATAAAAATATTTGAAAGAAATTGATTTTTCTCACATATGGATGGAACTATAGCTCCTTTGTTTAGAAGTTCAGTGATTTCATTAGATATAATGATACTCTGCTCATCTGAAAAGGGAATTTCTTTTGGAAAAAAGGTTTGGAAATGCTTGGAATCAAACTCTATTATGTGCCCCAAACTTGTTTGTAAAATCCATGGATCATGAGTAAATTTATTCCATACATCAATGCAGTGTTTTAATTGTCCCACAGAACTTACCTTAACAGATTTTAATTTGTGGGTTCGTTTGGGAGACTGGTATAAGTAGGTCTCTTTCCTCTGTTGGAATTTTGGTATTGATACCTGTGTGTATTTTGGGCACTGTAAGGTTGGGATTGAAATCTTGCCCTCTGATTGAAATCGTGAGTTCTTATGGGTCCACCACCTCTAGCACTGCGGCCTCTATAGAAACCTCTGTTAAACTGGGCAAAGTTTTCTTTGGCAAGTGCAAATCCAGTGTCACATTTTTTAACTTCTTTGGCTACATCATCTCCAAAAAGCATTGATGTTATTGGGGTGTGCATGTTTCAAAGATTCGAATATTTCCTTTTCAAGTGTGGTCGAATCATATATCTCCTCCTGAGGGAGACATTATATTGCACCTGACCCATAAGAGTAATTGCATCAGAAATTAGGGTCTTTGCTTTTTCATTAGTAGCAATCTGCGGCTTTAACAATTCTGCTAACTGGACAATTGGCATAATACCTGCAGCAATAAGATTTTGTATATCCCTAAAGGCTTTGTCGTAAGAGTGAACTCTTTTGCTTAGGACATTCCAAATTTCTTGATTGACAAAAGGGGGGCTCAACTTATCACAATTTTCTGGGATTTTGTTCTTCTGTACAATTTCATCGGTAGCACATAAGGAGGTGCATGCAGTATTAATCAGCTCTGCTAAGGATTTTGGTATTGGCTCTCCTTTTTGGGGAGTTTTTAATTTGGGTAATTGCCACACATCATCATTACTATTAGAAATACAGTTGTAATCAGGCTGCATATCATCAAACAATGCCCCATTAATTTTCCCACTCAACGAAATTTGCTTGAGTGGTCTACTTGTATCACCCTCTTCTGGGGTAACCTCAACATCGCTATATGGACCTTCATTTTCAACTTCTACATGTAATTCTGGTAAACGTTCACCAAAACAGTCATTAATTTCATTGTCATCTGCCACAACAGGCTGAATATCATTTAGACCCAGTTTTTTCTTCAAAAGCTCAATGTCCATTTGCGACAGGTTATTTATATCTATAAGAATGGACGTCTTCGACTGTCCGACATTTGCTGTTTGTTTATCTGCCATAACAGGCTTGTGTTTTGTCGCTTTCGGAACTCTAGTCATGACAGACTTCAACTTTTTGTTTTTCTGTTTTTGTGGCTTCATAACTTTTCCCTCTTTTGAGGAACTTGCCTCGACTTCACAAAAGGCTGCAATATCCTCAGGCCCAAAACCCGAAAATTCCGAGTCAGCTTCGAGGTCGGTAATTGAGAGGACTTTGTCCTCTTCAGTAGCCATTAGAAAATAAACGAAAATAATTTAGAACAGATAACACGTATATAGCTTGGACTATGTCCTAAGCTGGCTACAACACCACGTCTTTTTTAAGTATATACCTGTTATTTAACTTACCGATACCTACCCGTTCCGCTACAACGCCAAAATAACTATGAGGTTTCTCGTGCAGACGGTTTGTTTATATAGGGTACTTCAGGTGACGTATTGTATAATTGATAAAAGTTCCTTTTCTTTGAAGAGCGCCCGTTTCAGCCAACGACAGAGTAACATGCTATGTATACATGTGAGGCTGAAGGCTTTACGAAAAATAATGAACAATAAGCCACCAAGGATACATTTTTCCATCACTCACAATCTCAGTTATATTGGAGGGATTTGCAAAGAACATTATGAGAGTACAGTCCTACAAAAAGTACAACTATTAAAATCCAGTTCTCCAGAGCTAAGAGGAAAACAGGCAAAGGGAGGTTGATGTTTTTTTCACTGTTTTTCAATCCACAAGACCCTCCCTATCTTGAATGACATCACTTTCATCCACACATTATCAGATCCCATTAGAGTGAAGGCTGCAGTCTTTTGCTGCTAAATGGGGAAGATTTGCCATGATGATATACAGACCCAACAAGTAGTGTCTGGTAGGCTTGGTATTAAGTTTGAAACACCTCTCCTTTCCACCAAGTTCCTTCAGCTACATATGTTGCACACTGCATATAGTTGGTATCCTAAGCAAATTCATTGACTTTTGTATGCTCTTGAGCTCATATTGGAATACAACAATGGTTCTAAATGCCATCCCATGAGGGGATGATGCAATCAGGGTGGACTTGAATGAGACATGATTTTATGTCAAAACTTACACTTTTGATTTGTCTACAAGAAACAACAGGCTACACAATAGCAGGCTTATTTTACCTTGAAACAAGACATGATATCACTTGTTACTCTCCTTCTTATTTTCATTCAACAAAAGAATATCTGACCTAATACCAATTCATGAATTTGGTCATCTAGATCAAAAACTTAAGATTCATATAAACAGATTATGTCTTTCCCAGGAAATAGAATTTAATTAGTACAATAATGAATTCCTTGCCAATATTTAAGCATTTAATCCAGCCACTAGAGAGTGCTTTCATCTGATTGCTTTGCTCATTGCTGCAGTGGATGTAGATTTAAGGCTCCCATTGCAATGATTCTGTTGTCCAAATGGAGGCCAAACCTTTGACTATTGGATCAACTTTCACAGTCTGCAAGTTCCAGTCACAGGTCACAAGTTCCATCTTGAAGGCAGGGAACATCACTGGACTTCTATTGGGGTCATCTCCACAAGTATAACCTCTGCCAATCATCATCAGTATTACAGATGACATGGGGAAGCAAATCTCCTACCATTTTGAGATGACAGGATCACTATTTACATATTAACACTTTTGAGATAAAAACTATTCAGAAAGGTTTCCACTTCTGCTGAAGAACCTACATGGGAATGGAGTGCTCAATGACAAATCCATATCTAAATTCAACACACCCTATGATGGTTAATGCATTACAGGGTTTATTACCCTGCAAAAACCAACTAATGCAAACGGAATGATCTTTTCATCCTTCAATTTTCACTCAATTTGTTCCTAATGGGATTAGCCTATGATGGATCTCTTGGCGACAAGGAGGAATGCCAAAATTCCAACCTTTGTCTCGCCATTCCCGGATCCAAAAGACCTAGATAATCAGGTCGGTTTCTGTTGATTGTAACATAGGTTGTGAAGGTAAAACAGGAAGCAAAAGAGTTTCCTCTTGCATATTACTGCACTCAAATTGGGACCCCTCTGGTGGCCTAGTGGTTAGAGCATCTACCTCAAATGCAGGAGGTCATGGGTTTGATCACTGACTGAGTCATACTAAAGACTTACAAAATGGTACAGTAAAAACTGCTATGAGTAACCTCTGCTACTAGCAACCACCTGACATTTCCCACCACAATCATAATGTATGGATTGTTTTTATTGTATAAACGCTCTGTTATGAGCAACCACCTGATGACAACCATGATGTCTTGGCAAAATATGCATTTCAACACTGCTATTAATGACTGCATCAGACGTAAATGAGTGTACACAGGACCAACCTTTGTTTAATCCCTCTAAGAATGATCACTCCTACCATTGTAAATATATGAAAAAAAAGAAAAAATAGGCTGGCTACCAATGCCTGAATTTTCAGCTGTGCCTATGTTATTTTTATAGTTTCTCTCATAAACCAGACTAAAGTATATGCAGATTATTTCCTAGTCTGGATTGTTGCTTCATATTCTCCCTGTGTTGTTTCTGCTATTATTATAGGGGTGAGCAATGCAATGAGCATTGAAAGCAGGGAACTAGACTAATTATTCCTGCACTTAGCCTGCTTCCTGGCCTTAATTGTAGGAGGCATCTCTATGAAGGACCATACTACAGGAACAGATAGACACCACTGACCTATTATGTAATAAGTTGTTACAACAATTGCTTGATTAGTAATGATTGCTTTGATCAAAATCAAACATAAAAAGAATATTTAAAAAAATGTTTTTGAGACTGGTGATATATGTTACAGTCCATAAATGAAGTCAATGTATATGTCACAAATTGTCATTGTAGTACCAAAGTTGATGTAATGGTTGTATATATTGTTTGTCTTTAGAGTTAATCCATATTGCAGGGGATAAATAAGGTCATTGTCAATTAAACCAGGAAGAGAGACTCATTTGTGGAATTTGATCATTAGTGTTTTAGACTTGTGATACTTGTTGTCCCCCCTCCCCCTCTGATGTTAAGTGATTACATCCCAATCACAAATATTTCATCTATTCAAGTTCGTGTGACTGGGTTACATACTTTGCCTAGTTACTTTATATATGTCATCTTTGAATGAAGTAAATGACTTTTGTCTCTGAGTAAATGGTTCTCTTTCAAGATGAGATAATTATTAATTTTTATTTTATTAATTGTTAGATATGCAATGCACATATATATGGATTTTTCATATTTTTTCTGCAGCCCAGTCAAAACCATCTTTACATTGGATATTACAACTGAGAACTAAACATTTTAACACCTAGAACCTTATTAACATTGAACTAACCTCTAACTAAAAGAGACAAATTTTAAGGCTGGAAAAAATAATTATTGTAATGAAAGAAGTGAAAAAGAGCAGACTATTTGCAAAAAAGCTGTTTCAACATCCAGGTTAAACATATTTACATCGTCGTAAAGAAAAAGGAGAAATTCAGAAATGATTTCATAAGCTAACATATGCGATCTTCGATATAATTGTGATTTCATGTCTAATGACAGAAGTATATCTTTATTACTAAATAATGTTGTTTTAGATGAATACACACATTGTCTTAGTAAGAACTATTAATAAAGAATAAAATATATTATGTACAGTGATTGTGGTTATTTTTCTTAAAATTGTACTGAAACTGGACCTTGGAAACTGGTCTTTTTGTACATGCCTGAAGGACCACCTGTCTTGAGAGACTGCTCTTTGCTGGCATAAAGGACAGTCTCTTGTAACAAATTTTACAGTACTAACAGCTGCCTCACTTGGCACTCACCATTAAGAAGTTAGTGTTAAGACTGGTCAGCCTGGTGTAAGGATAATGTGGGTGTGACATTACTCTTCATGTCTACAGCATCAGATGCCCTAGTGTTAAACATCACTATAAACTGCCACACTGCAAACACCAGAGCGATATGACTAAAAAATTAAGCTACATTAAAATTCCAAATCACACACACACTCAAATGGGAAATCTTGGTTCAGCCAATCTCACAACAGAATGAACATATGCTTATGACGAGGAAGTATGGGATAAATTAACCATGAGATACTGAACCTACAAATCTTTTTTTTATTAAAGTATACCCTTGACAACAAACAGTTCTCTTAATAAGTGGTTTTGAGAATCCTTCAAATGAGATGGCCTTTGCACCTTAAAGGCATAAAAAAGGCCATGGAATATATTTTGACAGTGACATGCACAAGAATACTGTACACCACTCAGGCATTCATTCCTGAATACCTAACTTCCAATGGCTCTTTGGCAAGAAATGTTAGCATCTGATTCACATTTAAAACCTACTGTTCTACAGTCATTGACACACACTGCTGTCATGGACAAATTAAAGACCTATCTGATCTTCTGTTCATTTTGGATTACACATATGAAATGACATTAGATCCATGGTGAAGTGGAATCTATCATGGTGGAACAAGACTCCGTTTGAACTGCTCTCAAGAGCTTCATTGGTTCCTTACTGTATTAGTGAATGGCATGTCATATCCTATTGTTGACTCATCTGCATGCAGTTCTGTCAGGATGGGTCAGAATTACTAATGATGCCACCTGCTACCATTCATTGGTAATGATCAGACTTGGGTGATAATTCCTGTCAATTAAGAACAGTCTTCTCAAAATCCTCTTCAAGACACTGTTGTACATAAGGAAGACAGAGCTGTTGCATTGAGGGAGATCATGCCTCATCTTGCCCTCATAGAGGGAAAGGATGATATATCAACAGAGACCCAAATCATTATGGATATCCAAAATAAATCTACACCAATGAATTTGCATGGCATCTTGACTTATAAATTTAGGACAGTAATCAGGAACATTGCTTAGGACCACAGCTGTTCTCTGTTAATATTCATGCCGAGGGGATTTGTATATGCTTTATGTTTCTGTCTCAGATATCTTTCATCCTAAAAGGCACAACTCATTCTGTTCAGACCTATAGGATGGTGCAGAAAATGATCCTTCCCAGGTCATTAAACAATTTCATAAGGGCACTGATTCATTAATTATCATTACAAACTTATCATTCAGCTGGTGATATCTTCTGTAACACAAAATTTCACAGCAATAAAATAGCCATACATGTAATAAAACCAGGATATCAATATGATTTAAAAGTAGATTGGCTTCTAAACAATGAGAAAGAAAAAGATTCCAAGCAGATTTTTTACATGAAATCCATTTTCTTCCTCCTATAATAAAACATGAAATTTTGAACATGGAAAATGCTTCAATAAAATATTGAATGTATACCAGTCAGTGTACTGTCCATTAAATGAATAGGACACCACAAAAGATTTTTAAGATAAATATAAAATCCATTTAGCATTGTTAGTTAATTTCTTTCATAAGATAGTGACATTGTGATTATTAAGTTTTATACTTATCACTTGCTCAGCAGTTTTCTGGTCCTGATTTCACTTCAATCACTTTCTGTTTAGCAAAGAATGGAGGATTTTCTCTCTGTATCAGCATTAGAAGACCAATGAGAAAATAATTATGTTCTGTCTGCTAAGAAGTTCAGATATATATTTTCTTTTGGCTGAGCTTTTGTGGCGGCTGACTGCTTTCCAATACTCCTCCATTTCACCCTGCTGAAGAAATTCATAAGTTGAACTTCAGATTTTTTCATATTTTTTATGGATGTTTTAAAAGTACTGAAGAAATAGCATATTTTAACATGATTTGAACAAGAAATATATGAGCTACCCCTCAGTATTACTCTAAAAACATTGTGATTATTTGATTATGATTCTAAACATAGCTTCTATAATTTTTCAGTCATATTGCTCTGATGTCTACAGTGTGGCAGTTTATAGTGATGTCTAGCACTAAGGGCATCATGCCACAAAGATATAGCATGATGTCCCACCCAATCACATTATCTTGACACCAGGCTGACCAGTCCTAACACTAACCTCTTAATGCTGAGTGTCAAGCGAGGCAGCTGTTAGTACCATTTTTTAAGACCGGGGATCGAACTCATGACCTCTCGCATCTGAGGCGGATGATTTAACCACTAGGCCATTGGAGCGGTTCTAAAATCATTGAACAATGCTATAACAATTAAACAATGCAAAAACTCAGAATACTTAGTCTAACATAAGTGTTTCTGTGGAAAGAGGTTTTGGTACATTTATCCTTTTTATCTCACTTCTGCCAAAGATTGGTCCATTTGTTTACTGATTCACCAAGGATGAAGACTTTTATTACTTGCAACACCTGATAAAACCTTTCCCATATTTGGCTTAAAATTTCCAGATCAAAGTAATAAGATGATCAATAAACAGCTTGTCTATATGTTGGCCTGCTTAAGCTGCTTACTCAACCACACATTTCTTGTCCCAGGTAGACCATACCTGCAATATTCCCAGACAGCATTGGGGAGTTTTGAGATTCAAAAGTGTGTTTTGAGGTCCCAAAAAGGGTCAGTGCACATGACCAAAAGAACTTAATGTTGTCCAATTTAGAGAAAGCTATCCTTAGATGTAAGCCTATATAAAATGATGGGAAATTAAAATCTGAATTAAAAACAATTTCTGTCATATATGCTACATGCATGTGGTACTCCTATTTTGACTGAGATATGTATACTTGAGAATGACCAATGTTTATATGATGTTTGCAGTATGTGCCAACTTTAAATGCTTCCCCTTGCTATGTAGTTCTGATTTCATACTTTTATTAACCTGGAGTTATGAAATTTATTTTTCTGGGTTTTTCTATAGCTTATTGCTTCCTGAAACACATTCTTTCAAAATGAATCACACATGAACACTATTCCAACAACTATATATAATGTTTTGCATTGTATATATGGAGTACAAATGTTAAAGAAATGTCACTGTTGATAACAAAATTTATTAAAGTTGGTTTCAGTGTTCTCTTTCAATGCAGTGATTTGTAATAATATCTGTTTTTCAGCACATATCTTTTATGAACTCAAGGGTTGTTCTACTTTGTGTACTTTACCTATGCAAAGTAGCTAAATGGACTCTCACACAAAGGAATTTGACAGGACCTATCACCCTAGCTATTGTCAGCCAGTTAAAGTAATCTCTGAAAGGTGGTTGTTTATCTTCAACCACTGTAACACTTTACCTCTTTATTGCCTCTGTATTAACTCTGATGCCTTGAAGATAGGTAATTACATGAATTTTGAGCAAGACTAATGTTCATACATATTGGTACTACAGATTACAGGCATATAGGTAATTACATGAATTTTGAGCAAGACTGTTTACTGTTCATACATATTGGTACTACAGATTACAGGCATATATCACAGCAGTCAAGAAAAATAGGACTGGTAATTTTTTTGTTGAATACAATTTAGTGCTATGATTCCAAAGTTGTGTTTTTTGTGTGAAACTGCATGTTATGGTAGTTATGGTAGACTCCAGGTTCCAACTCTCTTTCTGTAATGCGTGGATAGAAGCGCTGAAATCCCTCTGTGAGTCTGGGGTTGTAGAATAGGCCATAAGTCAAACTCATAGAGGTGACTGAGTGGAGGCAAACTGTTGGCCATTGGTTATGACCTATATTGAGGAAGGAAATAATCCCGGTAGTTGAGTAAATGGGAGACCCATGAGTAGCTTCCTGATGTAACATACTACTTTGGCCCCTACTTGTTAGATGGGGTTTTGGGAAGGACCTGCTCATGACAAATTGGCTTTTCATGTTGAGCAATAAGAGGTCTTCTGAATTTTCTTGTATCTTGATTATATAACCACCATTGCTACTATAGTTTACTCCTTTGTTTTCATAATTTTCCTTCTCAGAAGACTATCTAGAAGACATTGGCTTAACAAGTCATTTGGTAGGTACTTGCTGGGTATGCCATCAGTGTATCTCTGGAACTTTAGAAGTAACCCTATGTTGGGTTTCCTGGTGGATGGGTGAGCATGAGTGATGAATATCAAGCAAAGCATAAGGGAAATCAAACTGCAGAAGAAACTGCTGTATCCTCAAGTCAGTTCTAGACCTATGAATAAAAAATTTAATCCCATACTTTCTCCTTATAACCATATGGAAGATCTCTTTGCAAAATTTAACCATGTAATATACCATTTTTCTACATTTAATTTATAATGAAAAATGCCATTAAACATTGGAATTGTTGGGGACTTTAAACCAACTAGAGCAATATTCTTCTGCTTTAAAAAGTTAATATGAACCTGCAGTGATTTGTCATCATGGAAATGTTTTAAAGCTATAAGGACGACATCATAATTAAAGATCACTCTAAAAATATTGACAGGATGTCAGAACAAGTTTTCGTTGTTGTGTACAATGTGGCTCCTCATTTAAAGACAAATTTATAAGACATTGCTGTAAATAGAATCAATCTTCATTGAGAGATTACATTTTGTTCCACTAAAATACCACCAAACACCAATTTAAAACCAAATGAATCAGACATTCTTGTACAACACTTGCCTACCCCATTTGTAACAATGTGATTTCATTGCCCTTAAAGTTTTATGAGGATCAAATATGCAAATAACAGAGGCCAAGGAACAGAACATTTCATTTCCAGACATGATTTTTTGTATATATTAATACCAAATTGCTGATATATTTACATCCAGTAATTGTTACATATACATGCTTTAAGATACACCAATTACTTCTTCTTTGCCCTTGGATTATAATTGGAAGGTTACAGATCTTCACAGCAATGGCTACATCTCAGTCTCTCTAAAGAATAATAAGTCTACAATCAAGGAGTTAATTTCACACTTGTAGTTACAGAATGCTGATTGGGTCAAGTTTGAAATGCTTTTGAAAGCTAGACATAACAAATATCTTTAAAGATGTCAATGATCCTGATCTGCATTTTGCATGTTATAATTGTGACTGCAGAAGAATCCATTCTCAAGATCTCATTTAGCTTTAAAGAAACCAAAACCCAACCCATGATTCACTAAAGATTATAAAACATATATTAGACAATGCCAAGAAGCATTGAGAAAATTTAACAATTGTGCAACATCAGAAATTTAAGTTTTCCAGGCTAAAGCTTGCCACACAATTAAAAAATGTAAAACAAAATCATGGATAAACTAGAGTTTTAGTTTAAACTCTTGTTCCTCTAAAATAAAAAGTAGACAGTAAAAGAAACAATAAGTCTGACATCAAAAGTTAAACAATAAATACTTAAATTCCAAACACATATGTACTTGCTGATAGTTTTTCTAAAATTTTAAATCATCTAGCTATTCAACTGATTTTTGAATTCTAAAACTTTAAAAATGAAATGATATATTTAAAATTCACATCAAGCAATTCAAAAGGTTATAATTAACTGCTTTCACTTTTGGAACCTATGGATACTTTAAATAAATCAACATGGTACCAGTTTTTTAAACACCTGCTTGAATTGTCATTAATTGCTCCTTAGAAATGCAAGAGTTATTTTGTATTTGGAGACTAACAATTTAATATTTCATTTCCATTATGGCTTCCAGTATGGCTATAATGCAAAGGATGACTTAAGACTGGAAACATTTATTATTATTTGTTTCAAGAAGAACATTTAGTGTTTTCTTTAATTTGGCAAAGATGATGCAACATAGAAGTAATGAATGAATTGCATGATCTGGGTCTGATATCAAACTTTTTTCAGACAGGGACTTCATGGTATGAGTGGGCTCCACCCTCTCTTATATGAAAACTACACAATAATTGGCTACTGATATGGATTTCATGCTATATGCTGACAATTTTGTAATATGTTATAACATGAAATACACACATATTATTAAAAGACATTTCCAACAAAATGTAAACAAGATTCAAAATTGTCAGTTGTTTCAAATTCTCAAAATAAAAACAGCATGCATGCATTTTTGTCACTTACAAAGGCTTTATGATGATCATAAATTGGATGGAAAACATACAGGATGTTTGGGAATTATAATTTTTGGTAATGTCTTTGACAGAAAACAATCATTCATTCCACAAATTAAGAAATTCGATATGTAATGCTTGAAAGCCCTTACTTTACTCAAAGTGTACACTGATGGAGGTGGTGATTGAAAAGTTGTTCTGAATCTATAGAGAAACTTTATTACATTAAAACTGGACTATGGTTGTTCAGTTTATTGTTTAGTGAAACAGTCATCTTTCAGGAAGCTTGACCCAATTCTCCATCAAGCAATACAACTTGCTTTCAACCACTCTGGTGGCTTAGTGGCTAGAGCATCAACCTCAGATGATGAAGGTCGTGGGTTCGATCCCCAGTTGAGTCATATGAAAGACATACAAAAATGGTACTAACAGCTGCCTTGATTGACACTCAGCATTAAGAGGTTTAAGTGTTAGGACTGGTTGGCCTGGTGTCAAGATAATGTGACTGGGTGGGACATCATGCTACATGTCTGCGGCATGATGCCCCAGTGCTAGGCATCACTATAAACTGTGACACTGCAGACATTGTAGTGATATGACTGAATAATTGTTAAAGCTACATTAAAATAAACCATAATCACATCACAACTTGTTTTCATGGAGCATTAAAGGACATCCCCATGTGAAACCCTTTTCGCTGATGTGAATGAACCACTTTTATCACATTACAGAGAAACATTATCTGTACAATGCCTTTAAATTACGACATAAACCTTTAAATCTGCATTTGCATCAGTTTTCCAACCTAAATGCAAAACATTGTACCAAAAGAAATCAAATGCCATTGCTACTTTTGTTATTAAAATATCTTGAGCCTTGACATTTTACAAAAATTGACCTTTCAACAATCCAAAAGTGTATTTTTTATTTCTGTAATTATTATGACTTTGTTTAAAGAGGGTAACTCAATTAGCTAAAAACTAATCTACCTTGAGGCCCTCATTCAAAGGAATTTATTTATTTTTGCTGCATCTCTGAAGCCATTGTATATACTGGGTTTGCAAAGAAGAAATATAGTGGGCATTTCTAATCTCAACTGGAATATTATTCCAGAGCAATGTTCCAGAGTATTGGAAACTTTTTTTAAATAATTCCTTATTTGGTATGGGAATCTTGTAATGTTTGGTAGACATTGATCGCAGGTTGGGAGTATTTCCAGGTAGCCTATACTTGACCTCCTGACATTTATTCAATCAACACAAAGTACTTTTACAGTGTGTGAAGGAAAATCATCCAAAATAAATCTTTCCACTTTTCATGACTCTTATGAGTAAATTCACCCATAATTTAAGAACCATAACACAAGAAGAATTTGAATGACAGCTCAGCTTCTGATGATGAAAAGGATGCTGCAGTCTTTATTAGCTGAAATCACACTGCAGATGTTTACTTGCCAGAAGGTGCATGGATATTTTCAGTCTACATTGCCCTGAAATATATTGAAACCAAACATTTTTAAAACTATCATCTTCCATTCACAATCATTACATTATCACTACATAATAGGAAGTTGGAAAACCCATTACAGACTAATATTCTCATGAAAGATGACTTTTACATTATAGAGCATACTGCTGGTGTTAAAGGTAATGAAAAGCATACAGAACTGCTACAATAACCCTAATCAACTGATTTTAAAATGCCATGCTCTGTTTTTAAACTGATTAAAAAAGTTGTGATTTAGTAAGTGGCAGACATCAAGGAATGGTTATGTAAATAACAAACTCTATGTGATCATACCTACATTATACAAATGACTTCCTTCCTGTAACAGAACCATCTGTAAGCACAAGGAAGTCATTGAAAGGATCAGTCATCATAAAATCCACTCCTTCATACAAAAGGATGAAGACCCACCTGAGTGTTTTCTTGCAATGAATTCTTCACCACAAAGTGCTATAGGATAGATTGTTTTGATCTCCAATTTCGACACAATTGTTAGTACAATGTTCATTACCTGAAGGAATATCTTTTTATACAGTAACAATAAATTTTTCTTGTGTTCTAAATTATTTTTGAAGGAAGTTAACATTTTTAAATATTTGTTGTGTGTAACCCAGTTTCCTTAAAGTATTTTTAATCAACATAACTGTTTATTGTTTATTCACCCTAATTTATCATTTATTATCTACTTACCCTTTATCATACCATTTACATACGATGTTGATCCAGAACCTTTATATATTTTCACCATCTCATTGTGTTTTTGTAACTGTATTTCTTATTCTTGATAAAGCTTGTTTATACATATATTTTTATTGTACAATTTTTTATATAGCACACAAAAAAACATAAATTTTTTTTCTTTAAATAAATATTAAAAAGTCTTTAAGATTTCAAAAGCTGCAGGGCTCAAGTATAAAAGAGAATGTACAGTCAGCCTTTTAAACAGTATTTGTATTCTGCTGGGAGTAGAATAACATGTATACAATAAATATAAACCATATATATGGGTCCACTACACTCGTGCACTACAAATTGTGTTATTTACCAATTGTAGTTAGGAAGTATGACAATTGTTTTACATTCTTCATTCATAAAACTGTGATAGTCGTATGCATATCTGCTGTTCAAAATGTAATTCAGTTTATAGTTTCAAATTAGGTTCATACTAAAAACAGGTTGAAGGGTTAAGGTTTGGGGTTAATAAATAATTTGAAAATTAAAAATCATCATCATTAGTAAATCAGATGTTGATTGCTAGACTACATTTTGTCAGCATCAGAAAATCTTGATTATGTCTTATATTTCAACATGATCTGGTGATTATAGTCCTAATATACTGATGGGTGGTGTGGGCAAAACCAAAGTACTGTAACTCTTCTTAAGATAGCTAAATATAATTGCGTTGTCTAGTGACAGAGTTATGACCCTGCCAAATATTTAACCATGTTATCTCAAGTAGTATTCTGGAGTCCTCAGTATTGATGCACTTTGTAAGCATTTACGTTCAACATTTCAGAAATATACTCCTTTTATAGTGATTCCTCTCATTTCATTTGAAACATTAGTTATTTTAGATAATCATCAAATGTCATTAAGATATTCAGACATACTCTTCTTGACACATTTCAACCACTTGTCCGCATACCAAACACTTGGTGTATTTCATCACTTGTATTGATGCACTACACAGGACTCTATTTTTCTGTTTGTGACACCATTGTGCTCATTGAAAGGTAAAGAGTCATATTGCAGATCAATATTAATAGCACCCATACAGAACTTTCTTATTGATTCCATATGGAATACTTCAGGAATCCGTATTGAGGAGATATGGACTGAAAAACGAAAGGAATCAGACAATTTATTCCATATCAATTCCATAAGTACTTCATAGAAGTGAAAATTCCATATGGAATAAAGTTGCAACTTTAATCCATAAGCACTTTTTTTCCATATTGAATGCAGGCTCATTATAGTCTCATGGAAAATGTTCTCTAAAAAATTTATTTACTATCTCAGATTCAAATAGAATTATTGGTGGGAGTTAGAGTACATATATATGTCAGTGTTGCTGATGTGGAAGGATGAATATAAATTTGAAGAAAACATTTATGTCAGTTTTCTTTAATTTATTTGCACTGTTTAAAAACAGGAAGACAAAAAAGATAGAGAAAATTTAAACATGATCAGATAGAACCAATTCTTAATAAACTTGATACTTAATGTCTGAGCTGAAAATGTGACTGAAATTTAAGCAAATTCACAGCAAATGTTTTTTGCATTCACACAAATGTTATTTTTTTTCACTAAAATTATGGTATTTTAGGAGATTTCAACCCAAATTTCTCAAAATATCAGTGAAATTTTGTGATTGAAATGTCACTGACTGCCACCATTTCTGAAAATATGTGATAATTTGTGATTGAAATTTCACTTAGAGTTTGTCAAAAATTCTGAAAATATAGTGATAATCTGTGATTGTAATATCAACGACTTTCAATAAAAAATGTCAATAAGATATAATCAAATTTAGTTTTTGTTTCTTGTACAATCTTAATGATCTTCAGCAGCATTTAGTTTTCCTGTTTCTGATAGCTGTAATTTTTTGCTCATTTTGGACACAATATCTTCTTTCCACATATTTCCCTGTTATATATTTCTTTTTCACAATTATTGTATTTGTGTTTTATATCAAATGGATTTAACTGCACTCAAACAAGTTTTCTTGTTTTCCGTTTTAAATTAGAATTTCGTTTCTCCTAACCTGAATCTGATTTTCCTCGATATGGACCCTTATTTAATATCATCTCTGAAACTTTTTTTAATGCAATAATGATCTATTTGGTAATTCCACAGTAAGCCTTCTAATCAGTATTTGTTCCATTTTTAATTATTTAATAGATGATCACTATAAAAGGCTTTGGTTAAAAGTTTTACTTGCCCAATGAATCATTGTGTAACAGAAACTGATGGTAATGAGCATGCTGTCTTAGCATGGTGATTCAAATTTTTGAGCAGGATACGAGTTTAAATAACCATTTGATAATTGTGCTGCAGTGAGAATACTTTGAATGCAAAGTTGATGGGAACTTAGTTGGTCAGTCTATATAAAAACTGAGACACCAGGACTACCAATTTGCTTTTTATGCCGTAAAGAGCTTTATGTGCTAAATCTGATGAGGAATTGAACGAGGATGATTACAAAGTTATACAACTCCAAACTGATTAACTCCCAGAATTTAAGAAGGTACAACTTATAGATCACTTTTGGGAATTATTAATTTTTGCCAGATACCCATGTCTACCAAAGATAGTCATATCTTTGTGGAAATTTTTTAGCCCATAACCTACAGAATTATCCTTCAATATCATGAGTAGTATTATTGTGTATATCATCAAAATATTCTAGGTGTGTTAGAATTCACTGTTAAAACAAGAGGAAATATATGATAAATGTTTGTTTATGGAACAAGGATTAATTTAAGACACCACAACAGCATCATGGTTTGTATATTAATCAAAATTCAAGTCTGCAGTACAACAGTGACATAAGGCAGGCTCCTAGCATTTATTCTTTTCATAATTAACGTCTCAAATGGATGCTTTTCTGTAATTTTGCATCTTTTTCACAGTTGAGTTTTTCAATGCAAGATGCTATTTTATGTGTTTATGTGTTTACAGATGCCTGTGCATATATTCCAGGCTTGATACTTTGATTTTTAAAATCAATTATTTAGTGTCAAGCCAGATTCTTCACATGTATATACTGTAAATATTGTACATAACAGACAGAAAGCCTCTAGGTAGATTAGATCGGTAACTGATTATTAAATATTATTAACTCCCATATCTCTTGCCTTGGATGTCATATAACTACAACAATTTTTTATATATT